ATGTTTCCCCATTATACTTACCTGTACCAGTATCGAATTTATGGTAATTTAGGTGGAATCTGAGCTGTAGTTTTATTCTTTTACAACTTTTAAAGAAGTAGTACTAAGTTTATAATAAACAAAACTGTTCAGATAAGGCAGCTACCTAAGAGAATGCATTGTTTGTAACCATTTATGTATATTTTAAAAGCATCCATTGACTTATCAATAATCGATATGGTAATATATTGATAGATTACTTTTATTTATTTTTTGAAGTAAGACTTCTAAGGAAGTCTCCCAGAAGAACCTGGTAACTTATTTTTCATAAATTATTTGTTTGAGTAAAAATAAAAATTGCATTGAAAATTATTTTAATTCATAGCTTTCACTGAAGCTGATTATTCCCCTTCTTTACCCAATTTGTACAAGGCAGTGAGGTGATCTCATTTGGGACAAGCCTTCTTTTATTAATGTTCCTTTCTAAAGATAGCGGTTGTTTTCTAGAATACTGTATCCTTTGTATGCAGGACTTCTTTAAGAGAGGACTGTGAATCCCTCCTGATATTTTGCTGCTGTGCTGGGATTGTGCGTTTTACCCAAGGTTCACGGATTGAGTGTTCTCTCTAGTTTGCTTTTTCCTGAGGGACCTTTTCTCCACAATTGCATACAGATTGGGCCCGAGGTGGTTTTATTGTGATTTGGGTTTGTTCAAGATAATAGCTTACAAGAAAGCTTTTATATTGGTCAGAGACGCTGTGTTGTCATTCTGCTTAGAAGCCTTCACTGATTCTCTTTGCTTAGGAAAAGTCTAAGCTTTTTAAAGGGGCATGTAAAGCCGCCATGTCTCCCTGCCCACCTTTCCTACCTCGCCTTCCACCGCCTGTTTTACTGATTTCATGGACTGCTTTCCTTCCTTGGAACTCACCATACACTTGCATACATCCTGGCCTTTTTCCTTTGTTCTTGTTCTTCCCGTCTCCTGGAACACTCCCATATCTTAGCTGGGAGGACTTAGACTCCAGATTTGGTGGAAGCACCTCAGAGCTTCCTGAGCTAACTCTGAGGATATTTACTGTATACTGAAATTTTCTCTCTAAATTTCTACCATCTCAGACCACAGGCCTCAAGAGGTGGCATTCTCTTGTTATTCACTTTGTACTTTTAGAAGTTAAATGGTTCCCTGACATATAGTGGGTGCTCAATAAATATGTAGTGACCTAATTGAACTGCAGCTACATGGTAACAATGTGTTTAAATGTGGAAAGTAGAATTTTTGTGGAGTCAGTCTCGATTAACATCAATCACTATAAAGTCAGACTTTTGGAAAAGGCAGTTTTAAACAATAAATAAGTAGCTAGACCAAGGATCGGCAAATTTGAGACGGAAGAGCCAATCCTGTCTCCCAAAACAATTTGAAAATTATTCGAGAGTCATTAAACAAATGAAATCACCATTCTGTGAGTAATATCCTTTAAAACTTTTATAAATGAAACTATGATAGTTTTATTTTCATTTTCACTTCAGAGCCACATGTACGTACCCAAAGAGCTGCATGTGGCTCGTGAGCCGCAGTTTGCCGACCCTTGAGCTAGACAATGATTTTATCTTCAAAGTTGAATTTGATTTATCCCACTTAAAACCAAACAATTATAAATTTACAAAATACTATGTTTAGAGTAGTGTTTTTTGTTTATATCAGTTAAGCCATTTAGATAATACACGGCTTAATAGATATGGCATAATCTATATTCTCTCTCAAAAATAAACTTGAAATATGTATTACCTGTAGTCATCATCACCAGCATCTTGATTAGAATCTCTCCCCACCCTGCAAACCTTCCCCCACCATTGGTTTCTACTTACTTAATTTTCCTTCCTTAGGATACTCTTTTTAAGCAAAAGATTAGTGCCCTCTAGGGGTGAACTGCAGGTGCAATGCAATACACAATTTAAAAAGCACTGCAAAATTCTGGGAGAACTGTATGAAATATAGAAAATGATGTTTTACCCTTATTAGGTAATTCATGTTATATAATTGAATCCCAGAGTGTCTCTAAGTGCTTTTACTTTCCTCATCACTTCTTCTAGCACTATTTATTCTGACAGTTTTTTGTTCCACAGGGAAAAAAATATCCAAAATGAGAAGAAAGACCGTTTTATTAAAAAAAGTGAAAACGGAAGGTTACGACTATTGGCAGTTAGTATGGTTATTTGTGAAGGAAAGTTACCATACCAGATGTCTATGACTCAGACTTAGGATAAAATAAACAGCGTTTCTGTGTCAGTTTAACTATTTAATTCCTTCTCATCTTTCCCCTAAATTGATCACTTGCTCAGACATTTCTCCAGAACCCCAATTTTTTCCTCTGTTTATTCACTACCACTCTTTCCCCATAATGTTGATTTATAATTTTTAATTAACATTCTTGTTTATCTCATTATTTTGTGGTGAGGAAAATAAGCCAAGAATTCAAAAGGTCTTAGTACAGGGTCAGGTACTTAGTATTAACTTACCGTGTGTGTATTTTTGTTTATCCTTGTTAATCATGGTGACATTTGTTTTTCATAGAATAATAAAGATGATAATATCTTACATTTATGGAGGCTTTTCATATACAGTATTTCTGTGGACCCTCAGAATAATCACCTGAGACAATAAAAGTAGGCAGTATTACCTGACAACTGTGCCTCAGGATATTTTCAGGCATTACAGAAATTTGTGTCTTTTTACATTTTCTTCTAAAATTCTTAAGAAATTAGGTCACAAGTCCTAAGAGCAGCTTTCCATTTTACATATTTCTTTCTTTTTTTTTTTAATTAAAGTTTATTGGGGTGACAACTGTTAGTAAAGTTACATAGGTTTCAGGTGTGCAATTCTGTAATACATCATCTATATTATCACATTGTGTGTTCACCACCCAGAGTCAGCTCGCCATCCATCACCATATATTTGATCCCTTTTATCCTCATGTACCACCCTCCTCCTCCCTTACCCTCTGGCAACCGCTAAACTATTGTCTATCAGCTTTGTTTCTTCATTTGTCTTGTTCCTTTGTTGGTTTGAGTTTTATATACCACATATCAGTGAAATCATAGTTCTCGACTTTTTCTGTCAGACTTATTTTGCTTAGTTTTATAATCTCAGGATCCATCCATGTTGTCGCAAATGGCGCTATTTCATCTTTTCTTATGGCAGAATATTATTCTATTGGGTATATAGACCACAACTTCTTTATCCACATCATCTATTGAAGAACACTGGTTGTTTCCATGTCTTGGCCACCGTAAATAAAACTGTAATGAACATCGAAGCACATATATCTTTACAGATAAATGTTTTAATTTTTTTTGGGTAGATACCAAGAGAGGGATTGCTGGGTCATATAGTCATTCTATTTTTAATTTTTTGAGGAACCTCACACTGCCTTCCATAGCGGCTGCACCAATCTGCCTTCCCGCCAACAGCATATGAGGGTCCCTTTTTCTCCACAGCATCTCCAACAGAGATTTTTGCAAACAATGCCTCCGATAAGCGGCTAATATCCAAAATATATAAGGAACTCATACAACTCAACAACAAAAAAACAAACAATCCAATTAAAAAATAGGCAGAGGACCTGAAGAGGCATTTCTCCAAAGAGGACATACACATGGCCAATAGACATGAAAAAAAGCTCAACATCACTAATCATCAGAGAAATATAAGTAAAAACCACAATGAGATATTACCTCACACCAGTTGGAACGGCTATCATCAACGTATTTTCTTTTAAGTTAACATACTGGTTTTTAAAAAGATAACTTTACTCGTATTTTCATATCATAGAAACTTGTGTTCTGTAGTTTGAACAAAGGCCTTCTGTTTTCAGATTTTCGTTTGGCAGATGAGAAAATTGAGGCCTGGAGAATATAGGCAGCTGGCACTAGTTTATGGGACCCAAGGCAGAAGTAAGACTAAAATGCAGGTCTCCTAACTCTTTTCCCCTTATAACACGTTTTCTCTTTTTCTAAGTTGGTTTTGAAGGCATGATATTATTATTTCCATTTCATAAACATGCCTAATTTATTTTGCCTTTACTGTTTCATAAATATGGAGAAAAATGGCACCTAGTTTTGGAAAGTTTCGCTGATGTAGGCGGCTTAGTGAAGCCTGGCAAAGCAAGTTGTGAAATTGCCTTCCTATGAAATAAGTGTTCAGAATCACACCCTGTCTTTAACTGTCCTGGAGTGAGAAGGACATAGGAAGTGAGAGAAGGAGGGAAGTGTGGCTCTGGCGAGATGTGGATGGGTATAGTGTGTGGGTACAGTAGGCCAAGCATTTACAGGGTTGATCCCTACTTGGCAGACTGGACAGAGGTTTTGGAAAATCTTTGGTTGTTTGAGCTCTAAAATCAGAGCTTAAATCAGGCCTGTGGAATGGAGGAAGAAGCTATTATAGGTTTTGGATTAACCTGGTGCTAGTGATAACGTGGTTATGAGAGGAAGGTTTGGACAGAGGTGTTCTATCCTCATCTATGTGAATTTTTAAAAAAAACTTTTTATTTTGAAATAATTATAGATTCACAGGAATTTTCAAAAATAGTACATAGAGTCTCATGTACCCTTTGTCCAGCTTACATCTGTGGATTTTTAAAGTGTGGAGTGTGTGCTTCTGGCATCCTGGATCGTGTGGCCCAGAGAGTGGGAAGACCAATGCGGGGATCAAAAGTCACCCCTGTTACTAAGGTGAATCTGGTTGCTGTATCAGGATTCACGATGAAAGTCAGGGTATTCCTGTATTTTAAAAATTGCAACTCCATGAGTTATTTTATTGGTTATTAACCTGACATTTACATTTTTAGTGTTTAGTTTTTAAATTTAAATTTTGCTTTAAGTAGTGAGACAATAACAATTTTAAAAATCACTATATAAATGAACACCATATAAGGAATGTTTTCTGTTTTGCCTCTTTCTTGTTTGAGTATTAAGGATGGTTCTGGGCTCTAGAACCAAAAGTTAAATTGCTTTTCTCTGTTTAGGTTCGAAAACATGTGAATGATCTCTATGAAGACTTAAGGGATGGACACAACTTGATCTCTCTTTTAGAGGTTCTTTCGGGAGACACCTTGGTAAGTTTGAAACTTCTTAATTTCTTTTGAAGAATGTGTAATCCTCTCTGCCTATAACTAGTATGTTTTCAGCATAGACTGGACTTTTACAATATTCATCTTTTGAGCTGTAAATTCTGCCTGAAAAAAAAAAAAAGAGTTCTGGTTAGACTTTAAAGCATTTTCAGACTTCCAGTGATGTGAATTGAGGAGATTGAAGCACTTTGATTACCTTGCTTATATAATCAGTTCTATAATTCAAATACTATTTTTGTTCTTGCTTCTTTTTTTACCTTTGAGTTTTTTTTGTTTTTTGCTTAGCAGAAGTTGGATGCATACTATAACCACATATTAAAAGACTCACAAATAGCAAGGAAATAAACATCGCTTTCTGAAAAATGGTCTAACCCCCTCCGCCAGTGTCATTTCCTTTCTATGTGAACATTACTTCCCCTTCTTGGTTACCTGTTCTCCTCCATTATGTTCTGTTCATGCTCTCGTTTTCATTTCTGGTCTGTCTTGTGTCTTTGCTGTCCTATCTTCTGTCTGTTATATTCATTAGCCAAGGGAGCGAGATTTTTTGAAGACCTTACGATTGGTGAGTGCCACAGAAGCATGCGAATATGAACAGCATGAGGATGTGAAGGATGAGGATAAGGGGGTAGGTGTCTGCCCCCGTAACTCGACTAACCTAGCCGTTACAGTGCGGTGAGCGCTAACGTGACAGAAAAGTAACACATGGGTTTGGGCTCCTTTTTAGAAAACTATAGAAAGGACCAAAACCCCCAGTGAGGTGGATGTGTGTGTACCAAGAAGTTGACCAAAGGAAATATTTTCTCTTTAAATTTTATTTCTAGGTTACTGTGCACTGCACTGCATGGTAACTGAACATATGCACTTAAATGATAACATGGCATTTTAGCTAAAGAATTCTGTACATTTTATATAGTGACGAACATCTTGACAACTAGCCTGCTAATTTTTATGCAGATTTATTCTACTTCTGGAATTTGTATTTCAAACATGGCACCTATTTATGGCTTTATTTGAAGGAACTTGTGGAAATTTATTTAATATTTAAGTTTATGCTTTAAATATACCTATTGGCAATAGGTATTTCATGGACATTCTTTACCTATCTGCTATGTCTCATTTTATATAAAGAAAGGTTCGGGGAGGTTTTAAAATCTAGATTCCTGACAGAACTCACAGAGCTGTTTCATCTCTGTGACACTTAGTTGACCAGCCCACTTTTGCAAGATAGATGTGCTTCTTTTGTCATCTACATCCCTTCGTGCCCCCTGATTTCATACGAGATTTTGTTTTTTTTTGATCCACTGGGTGATTTCATCAATATTATTTCTACCTGTAGTATGGAACCTATTATATTTTCCCATTCCGTAGTCTGCTATCTGTTTTATTATGGTGCCTTTGGCTTCAGCAACCTATTCATATCTGAGAAGCTAAGCTGTCAGTTTTCTCCCCCCCCCCCCCCCCCCCGGAAGATTTTATGTGGTAAATTTCAGCTTCATTCTTTGTATTTTTGTTAAGCATTCTTTTCAGCTCTGGTTCCTTATATTTTCCTTCTGCTAACGTAACTTTTCTAAAGGGAAACAGTGTCAAGGAAAAGAATTATGATTTGTCAGTTTTCTTGCGACAGCAAATAATCATGTCCACCCCCAAATAGTATACAACTAGGATAGAGTCCAATCGATTTTGTGAAAAAGCTAAAATAAAATAAAGAGGAAATATATTACTTTAATTGCTTTTTCTCTTCCTCTATCACGGCTAAGTAAAACTCCACTGTCTTTCTTCTTCTTGGTGATTTTTATACTAACTGCATGCTACTTTACTTCATTTTCATTTACATGCCATACTTATATAATTATAAAAACCCTCTTGATAATAGTTAGAGTTTATTAAGAAGGTAAAATGGAGAAGGGTATTTAATTCTTTTTGTGTATCCCTAGCTTAACTGTAGGCGAGAATTGTTGTATAGTGAATATAAAAAGTCTGTATGCTCTAGGTATTTTCTCTTTTCCTTTGTTTAAACAAAGCATTTGGAATAAAGCATTTGTTTAAATAAAATATTTTTGGAAAACTCCCTAGTAGTTTAAATTCAGTTCCAGATAATATTAAAAAATTAGAACTACCTCGAAAAAATTTGATGGACTTACCCAAACAATAAATACTGTTTTGACATATTACGATGGGCATAAAGTATATTTATATAGTATATTTAGCTTGGTCAGTGCTATCAGAAACTACAGTGTTTTTTATACCCTGCATTTTTCTGTCCTTAGCCCAGAGAGAAAGGTCGGATGCGTTTTCACAGACTACAGAATGTACAAATTGCACTTGACTATTTGAAAAGACGCCAGGTATGATGTTTTTCAAAGACTGTACTCATATAAGCATATGGGACTGAGTAAATCTACACACAGAAACTTCTCAGAGAATGCAAAAGTTAAATGTGACTGATTATAATCATTATACTTGTGCTTTTGTGAGACAAATATTTTTAAATGTTTTTAAACATTTGCCCCAAAGAAAAGAAAGTTAATAGTATGTGTAAGCTTAGAGGAAATAAAAATTGCTATATTTCCAGCAGAGTAGGAGCTCCTACCGGTTTTCCTTCTGTCAGAGCTAGAATGCTTTTGCCTAGGAAGTTAATGACAGAATGTTAAGAATGTCTATGAATAGTTATTAGTACTAGGAACTTTACTTTTTATACTTAGTTTATAAAATTACTTTATTTTGTAAAAATTAGTTTATATAATACTTTAAAAAAAGTGTAAGTATTTTTAGTACTTAGTAGTGATGAGGCAATAGTTTATTATTTTTTTTATAAGTAGAAAATACTGCGTAATTTATAAGTGGTTAAAAATAAAACATTTCTGACAACAGTCCCCAACTGGCTTGAGGTTTCAGAAGAAATCATGGAAAAGAATGAACACCATATTGGATATAATCTTGATTTTGGTAGTATTGTGTGATGTAAACCAAATAATTGGTAATTTTTCAATTAGTACAAAAAAGGCGAGCTCTTAACCAACTGAGCCACTTGGCCAGTTTTACTTTTTAATGGAGTAGGAAAAAAGGAAGGGAGGGAAAGGCATTGAGGGAAATACTCTTACTAGTTTTTCATTTAGTTTATTATGAATATTAAAATGCATTTAGTTATTAAATTCTAGAAAATATTCTGTGCTTAAATATTTTAAATGTTATTGGCATTTTCCTTATTATTTTTAATTCTAGTGGAAGTTTCCAGAAGAATTAATTATATTTCCTGTCTGAAATGTTTTTTTGTCAATGTTTTCTCCAGGAATTAAAATGCTAGAATCATTGTATTTAATTTTTGGTATTTAATTCGTGATATTTAATTCTTTGTCCATCCAGAAGTAAAATTAGATGTCATCATTACATTTATTTACCTGAATACATAATATGACAGATGATAATCTTTAAGTCTTACTTTGTATACATATATATACATATATATGTGTGTGTATGTGTGTGTGTGTTTGTGTGTGTGTGTATGTTTAAACAGCCTTGCAAATGTCCAGTGATTCATATATTTTTCTTATCTTAATAACAGTTATGATAGACAAATAGAAAAATAATGCTTTTTTTTAATCATTTGTGAAGGAAGTGTGAGAAAGTTGTTAAAATTATTTTATGGTTCAGAACTGTTTTCTACTTAATTGTAAAATAAAGCTTATTTTCAGAAGACAAATTTCCAATTTTAAAATCTCAAGTATCTAGGATTTCTCACTTGAGTTGTATTTTTGTTTTGACAAATGAGTACTTTTATTACTTGATCTAGAATACAAAACCAAAATAATACCCATTTTTCCTTCGTGGTTATTTTATAATTTGCAGTCTAAAATGAGTAAAGATAGGGAGTAAAGCAGTATTTTGAGGATTGCTGGTATTTAAGTCATTCAGATTTTTTCTTTGAATAATTTAGAATCATTACTTAGGAAAAGATAACTCGTGATGATTTGAAAAACTGTTTTATCTCTTCTTCACATATAAAACAGGTGAAATTAGTGAATATTAGAAATGATGACATAACAGATGGAAACCCCAAACTGACTTTGGGATTAATATGGACAATAATTTTGCACTTTCAGGTAAGCCCAGTTTTTCTTAATTGTCATTTCTTTTATCCTCTCCTTGTGTTTTCAAGTGGTTCATATGAAGGGTGGATTATGCGTTCATATCCTATGGAAGAAAATAAATTTTAGGCTTCTTTTCTTAAACAATATATTTGTATTATTCCTTTCACGTAATATTGCTGCTTGAGAATCTGGTACCCCATTTCCTGTTGTTCATAACCTTTAGTGTTTTTAGGACAGTGCTTGTAATTAAGAGTTGGATGACAAGGACTGTTTTTAAATTGAATGTAGACATATTTTTTTGTTTATTGGACAGTATTACCTGATTGAGATACATGAGATGTTATTACTCAATCCTTAATTTAGAATGGTTCTCATTGATATTATAGTTTCTCAACCATGCAAACTATTTTTTCCATGGATAGACACTAGATGGCAGTATAATTATAATAGAGTGTGAATTAGTATTATGTTTTGTGTAGAGCTGTACTTTTTCAAACTAGATTTGGGAAAAGTAAATGCAAATTTATTAACTGAATTATTATTTAATAAACGTATGCCAGTTGAGTGCTGGTTTTGATTTTTAGTTTTTGTAAAATGATGCATTTTGAAAAAATCATCTTCATTTGATTTAAAGTGCGTCCTCATTTTGGAACTTGCTTTCGTTTTATTCGTCTGCTGCCTGCTCACACAGTACACTGTGTGCAGCACAGAGCCTCACCCATGGCAGGCAGACAGCACATCTTACTGATTGACTGCTGTGCAGTTGGACCTTGAGGGAGGAAGAGATAGCTTGCCAGCTTCAGAAAGGAGCTTGGGTTTTGAACAGATTTTGAGAGGCGTAAGATTTATTTATTATTTTTTAAAAATGTGACTGGGATATAGGGTTAATTGGGGGAATGGTAGACAATAATGTACCCGGGGCTCATTTGGGAACAGGATAAATCTGACAGGTATGGAGAGCTATAGGAAGTGGGATCTAGGTAGGTTCCAGGACCTGGACAGGCAACTGAGCAAAGTTGCAGCAACCGGAAATCAGAGGAGCAGACTCAGGTTTCAGGAGACCCATGTCACCAGGTGCCAGCCAGCCAGACTACAGGGCCACTAATGTAGGTGAATGTCCACTCAGCTGGGCAGTGATGTCAGGGAGATCCAGTAACAGGAACTGGAGGCCGGGCCCTGAAAGACTGTGGGTTTCCATTTCTGGAGGACCCAATCCTCAGGGGACCCAGGGTACTGAGCGCTAAACCAAGACAGGGATTTGGGCATGGAGCCAGACCTTGTTACCGGAATTGGGTAAAGACTCAGAACTAGCCAAAAAGCTGATTTCATGGGGAGTTCCTTAGCAGCTGTCTTAGGGATCCTGTAATTAGCCCTGAGTGGATCAGGTCCTAGAACTTTTAGTAGGGTTGAAACTATAAGAACCCCACATTGGAGGGTTAGAGGCCTGTTGGGACAGAGAGTCAATCACATCATTATCGACAGAGCTGGTGAGACAGGCTGTGTCTGGGTTTTGAATGTCAGAGTAAGAATCTGTGGAGCAGTGAGAAAGCACTCAGGTTTGGGAGGGAGGCAAAGACAAGTTTCTGTGTTGTCTCTTTTGTTTATGGCTGTGATGGCACTGAATAAGTCACTTAACCACTCTAAACCTGAAAAATAATGTTTTAGGAAACTTAATCTATTGATTCTATGTAAAATAAATTGAAATGAGCAGAGTCCATAGCCAGGGAGATAAGCTAAGAAGCGGAGGTGGTGATCTCTGAGTGGATAATAAAAGCCAGGATTCAGATGGGGATGGAAAATTGAATCCAAGAGATGACATTTTGGAGGAAGGAAAAAGGAACTTGGTGATAGTGAATAGAGGATGAAGGAGAGGGAATAAAGATGACTCTGAAGTTTTAGCCTGGGAGATAAAAAAAACCAACCAACCAACCAACAAAAAACAGACTATTGAGAGAAATGGGGATGGATAGGATAAGGGGAAAACTGAAAACCTTCTGGGCAGGTTTGGTGGCGTGGTGGGATAGCCTGTGCATAGGTCTGCTGAGCAGTTAGAGATTTATGAACAGAGCAGAGCTGAGAAGTCAAAGGTACAGACAATAAACTTGAGAGTTACCAGCGTACAAGTGGCTGTTGAATCTATCAGAGAAGGATCCGAGAGAAGAGCATATGTGCAGAGCCAAGAGCAAAGCACAGAAATTTGGGGAAGGCCCATGACTGGGGGTACAGGAGGAAGAAGATCCATCTGGGGAAACAGAAAAGGATCGTTTGATAAGATGGATGAAGCAACAAGAAAATGTAGTATTGATGAAACCGAGGGAAGAGAGTTTCAAGGAGAAAGGACTAGTGAGCAATGTGAAATGCCGCTAGAGAACATGAGAATTTCAAACTGAATACAACTTAATAGTTTTGTATAGAAGGAAGACATTGGAGATCTTGCAGAAAATACCCCTAAGCTACTGGGAGCAGAAACCAGAAAATAACTGACCAAAATGCGAATAAATCATTGTGAATTAGAAGCAATGTGTTTAGAACTTAAGTTTGAAGAAATTTAAGTGTCATTCAAAAAAGAATTATATATTAAGAAAGTTCTTTGGGGTTCACATGTGTTTGGAGGAGAGAAAAGTACCAAAAATACATTTTGCTTCTAATATGATCCAGTGGCTTATATTATGGAATCCAGTGTGTATTAGGACCTGAATTGCAAGATAATGACTTAAATTATCAGCAACATTTAAAAATTAGACCAAGATTTATTTAAAATGAAACACATCAATGTTTTGGTAAAACAGAAATGTGTCCTTTATGTAGATGAAATGACTTTTCTTAGTATTATGATAGTTGAAGATCAGAACGATTTTACTGGTTATGCAAATACATAAGGCTATTTATAGCAGTGGTAATCATCCTCACTCAAAGTGACTGGGCTTTTTTTCTCTCTATATATATATATACTTTACATAAATAAGAGAAGTGATTTCAGAAGACCCATTTATTTATTTATTCTTAAACTTTTTGTTATGAGCATCACAAATTGAATCTCTCTTCCAGTCAGGCTGTCTGAAAGGGTAAACATCAATGCAGTCATCCCATATCATTAGCTACCATATGCTAGACCCAGAGATCCGAGGTAATGAAGAATGTGGTTCTGTCTGTTGGGAGAACATTCATAACGCTGACTGTAATTGAGGGTGATGACTGTATTACAATAGAAATAATAATAGGGATGTAGGATTAGGAAGGTGTTAGCGAACAAGGGAAATTGTCACTGATGTTAGAGATAGGCTTGGCAAAAGAATTGCCAGTTACTAGGCAGAGACTAAAATTGGGTCATTTCTGGGTGAGGGAGGGGTGTGCAGTGGCCTGAAAATGGACAGTTGCTCAGTTTGGCAAGGTTAGAGGAAGGGTCAGTGGTATGCAAACCACCGCTTGCACCTCTATCATGTCAGAAATACCAGCCATTATACTTTTAAATTCTCTTGAATAATGTTTTATTGCCATTGAAGACATTGAAGATCAAATTAACCAACCAACCAACCAACCAACCAACCAACCCGAGGCTTTCTATTTGTTGCTTGTGTTCTAGGATATTCAGTTTTTGCGCTAGAGATTGTTTAATTTTCTCTTAAATGATTAAGGAAGACCTCACGATGTAGACCTATTATTAACAAATATCAACAATATTGCTAACTTGACTCTATAATTGAATGTTCTTATTTAGAAAAATATAGTGAGTTTCAGTTGTCTGTCAGTCCGAAGGCTACCTAGAGAAAGGCAGTGATCAGTTTATTTCTATTAGTCAGATGATTTCTGCTTACGTGTTAGTCCAGTCATGCCATACTAATTTCCTTTTTACCATACCTATGACTCAGTGCTAGAAACATGCACACCTGAGATAATCAGGTTCCGTACTGATTTATTATTTTTACAGCAAGGCCCTAGTAAAACTGCATAATATTTAACTAGGGTACAATTATAAAAGCTACATATAAAATTTAATTGCCTTAATGCATGTATAAGAACACACAGGTGTTTCTTTTGGCTAAACGTTCCGTGCATTAAATCATAAAATTTATCAATTTGCTTATGTGAAAATCCTAATGAGAACATAACAGAAACGGCTTGGAAATTTAGGTCATAGGAAAAACATTACAAACAAATTTAAAAGATTGATTTTAGAAACAATTTTAATAGAGTATTTTTGGCATTTAGCATTTATTATCCTCTCCTTCAGCTATTGAATCATTCCTTTTTTTTTTTAATGGCTGCTGTTTTGAATAAGAGTCTTAATGTAATTTACAGAGATTTTTGAGCCTTTTTTTTCAAGTACTAAAATCAGTTGGTGTTTCTTAAGAAACATAATTATGTGGTAGAGACTCGGAAACTAAAGTTGAAAGTCACTTTGCTAAATGTCTCCTGACTGGTATTTGCTTTCTGTTTGCTCTCAGACTTGTTGAACCACCAATAGTTTCAAAGGTTAAACACAAACTTTAGTAATGTAATTGCGTTTCAGAAAACTGAAAGTTACAGTGAGGGCCAGAATCTTCTCGGGTAATAAAGCTAAGGGTTTGTCTTGAGAGCTCATCAGCGTTGTCATTTGACAGTGAGCAGCAGTGTTTGTCTAAGAGGATTGGTGGCCAGAAATAAGCCACACTGCCTGTCTAATGAGACACAGGGACGCAGCTGGGCAAGATGCCATGGCGTTTCTTGTGTGTGCTTTTCTCATAAGCAAAATGGCCTCATGCTGAAGAGGATGGTCACAAAGTCTGAGGAATTAGAGGTCACAGTGGGATTTTTGGACTTAATGGAGAAGAGCTAAATAAGCCCTGGATTTTGAAATGAGTGAATCTGCGGAACTGTGATTCCCTGCACATCAAATGGGGAATGTCTGTGGATGTGTAAGAGCTGAGAAAGAAGAACAATACTTAGATCCTGCCAAATCTCCTTTGAGCCCTGAAAAATATTCTCCTGGAAGAAGATATTTCAGAAGAAAACCCATCAAGAAAATTGTAGGTGACACCAAGCCAGCAGAGCCCAACAATGAAAATGAAGGGACGGAGAGGAGCAGCATTCAGCTCTCAGAAGAACAGCCCGCTCTTTTATCCAGGGGCCTGGTACGGGAAGAATCTGTTTCCCCAGTCCTCAGGCTGGGAGATGGCATGCAGCAGGGAGAGACAGAAGTTGTAGTTGACCGTGTTAAACAGAAACTTCTGCCGAGCGCTGCAAGCGCTTCGTTTTCCCATGTGAACGTTTCTCCTGCTAAAGACAGCGAACCACAAGTTAAAGTTAGTGAACTGGATGAAACGATTACAGAAAAAGACAGCTCTGCGTGTTGTGCAGAGAGGAAGAAACATTCAGATGATGTCAGCACAAGAGAAATAACATTCCAGAGAAAAACAGAGGTTTTTTCTTTCCGAAAGGCAGCCAGCTTACGTTCCCTTCACTGGGGTACAGAGAGATCACTTGAAAAAAGTGGGTTTTCTGAAGACCCGTTAGAAAAGCATGGCACTGGTCAAGAAAAGCAAAGCATTGAGAGATTTTGCCCTCATGCAATACATTCTTTTTGTTCTGAAAAAAAGAGATGTCATTCCCTCTGTACTAATGTGTCCTCTACTTCCAAGGATACAGATGGAAATGAGGTAAGTGAAATGTGGAGTCTGAGTTTAAGGCGTAAATAAGCACTCCAGGTGCTCACATCTGACTGAGGTTCTGTAATTTGTCTTTTTAAAAAATTGTTTTCATATGAGTTTACGTGAAAGTTATAGAGTCCTTGGTGCGTTTTATTTGTAGCCTTAGGTTTGATTATTATGATTTTATTTTTTGTGACATCCCTTTTTTTAATCACACCTGAATTTCCAAACCCTATACATGTTATTGCTGGACTACCGCTTTAAGAGAATGTATATATTCTGCTTTTCTCTAGTTCATGCGTCTTGACTTTTCCTATGCTGTAGCCTTTGGAAATGTAGCTGCATTGTAGGAAAAGTTAAATCAGAAAGAAGTCATGACAAGACAATAGCTTCTTGACAAATGCAGGGAGGATACAACACAATTTTCAGTCAGTACTGACTTGCTGATTGCTAAGTTCTCTATTAGTTTTTATATACAGGAACTAGTAGTTCTCGATTACTTTTCGTATACAGGAACACTTACATAATTACTTGAGAGAGAGAGAGAGAGAGAGAGAGAGAGAGAGGGAGAGAGAGGGAGAGAGAGAGTGTGTGTGTGTGTGTGTGTGTGTGTGTGTGTGTGTGTGTGTTGAGGGCAGGGGACACAGATGAAATTGCCCTACTCTATTCTGTGTATCTGTTTCGAGTTATTCCCCTGCCCCAGTCTAAAATCAGAATCATTTAGGCAGCATGTGATAGGAAATTGAATACAACCCAGACTGCCAGGAAGCGGAGATCTTTATTCCTAACATTGATGTTTAGCTTTAGACAAGTTGCTTCTCTGGGGTTTTTAACTCGTATTCAAAATGTAAGTGAATATTAATTTACTTGCCTGAGAAGTACTTTCCCCAAGCAGCCTCCTTTACATATTACTAGTTGGGAGTGGATGGCCTTTGCTTTAAGCTATTCCTAACTTTGTCTTTTAACAAAAAGCCTGGACATAAGTGGTATACGTGATGTTAAACATTCTTGGCAAGGTCATTACTTCATGGGGCAGAGATCATTTGCACAGTGTTAGGGTGAGGTTTTATTAGGGTTAGTGAGCACGATCCTCACTGACCTGAGCTGCTGCTTCTGCTGAGGTGTTGCTGTTTATATACACCACCCCACCTTGCCAATATTACATCATTGATTCGATTTACATTTTACAGTGGTTGCATTTGAAAAAGAAAGCATCCAGTCTAGGTCATTTTCTATGTACGCCTGGCTTAAAGGTCAGTACAAAAGGAAATGTCTTGGTTGGCACATGTTGATGAATGGAACCACTTGCGTTGGTCACATATGTTTTCCAACTGCTTTTTGCATAATTTGGCTTCAAGTAAGCCTTACATGTTGTCATAAATGGTAACTTTTCAAATCTGTTTCTTAATGGGTTCATAAGCCTTCCCCCCCCCTTGTATTATCCTCATGCCAAAGTATTTACCCTTCTTTCTAATTGTGTATCTCATGATTTTCAAACACTTCAATGGAAAATGTATGTGAAAATAAGTCATACGCCTGCCAATCAGATTTGTTAAATATTGTCATATTGCAAGTACTTAACAGAGTCTCATATCTTCTAGGTGAAAGCTGAATGGGATACTATTTATTTTATCTGAGGAGTTGGATGTCTCACTCCCCTGCAGTCCAGATAAAGACTATTTAGTGGCGTACAAAGAGTCAGAACCAACAGCTTAGCTACTGTTCTTAGGACAGTCTTTCTGTTACTTGGGAGGTGTTTGACTCTTTTAGCTTAGTTGTCTTTACTTAGAACTGTGCATAGAACTCTTTATCTTGCATTGGCATCTACAGTGTTTCATTGGGGAATTAGATGTAAATGAGAGCTTTCAGCCCTCATCCCAGAAATGGCCTGTTAGGCAGTATTCCTTTTATTTGTTCCTTCAAGAACTTTCATATCCTCTCTATTTGATACAGCGTTGGGCTTGATGACTTTTGAGTTAACCTCCAGATAGAAGGGTATGCAATTCTTTGAACTTTTCTTAACCTTAGACTTAGTTGAAGCCTCTGACTTGAACTTCACTGGTCCTGTGAAATTTGTCATTCTTAGTACAGGTGACCAGCCTACCTCCTCTTTAAATCCTTGTGACCATACACTGACCTAGAGTGGCCCTCCAGACTTGGGGGCTCTGTGGAGCTAGCCACTCCTTGAGTGTCAACTGACTACAAATCTCATAGCATGTTATATCTTTACGGGGATAAAGAGGTGCAAATAAAAAAAAATAGGGATATCTTCAATTTATATATTGCTTTGGATTTGGAAAAATGCTTTCAGTCACATTGTATCTTTGGATCATCCTAACACCAGTATGAAATAGGCAAAATAGTTGGTTCCTCTTTTATAGAATGAGGAAATGGAAACTCAGAGAGGTTCAGTAATGTCCTTAAGGCAACACAGTACATGGGAGTAGCTGAGTTAAACTATGGCGCAGCACCCCACTTTGAGTAATTGTCAAAGTTCGGAAAGAGATTGCTGTGAGGCTAGAGCAGGGGTTGGTGTCTATATAGGGGTTGATGTTCATCCCTGAAGTATGAGCGTTATAAACAGGGGTGGGGGCAAAGGCAGGCCATGATTGGGGACAGGGAATAATGGGCTCACAGTCTGTACCTTCTCCAGGGATCCCTTATTGGTCTAAGACTCACATGCTTCCTGTACCTTGTGACACAGTCTGGTCTCTTACCTTTGCCCTTGAGCTGCATTCTTTTTTTCTTTAGTGTCACAAATGTCACTTCATCCTGGCCTTGTTACATTGATCTCAGCAAAGATGGGAGCCAGCATCCCCCTAGTTTAGCATTTGACATCTTATTCTCCTCTCAGTGTAGGTTTTCTGGCAAGCACTGTGGATTATGGGCCAGGAGGTGTGAGTTCTGTCCAGCTTTGCCACCCGAGCGCTGTGTGACTTGGACAGTCTCCTTCATTTCTCTAGGTCTCTGGTTTATTTTCTAGAAAAAGTAGGTATTGGACTAGACCATGATACTTTGCTTAATAATAATGGTGTTTATTGAGTCCTACCATATGTCAGACACTCTACCACAACGTTATTTTTATTTAATCTCCAGAGCCAGCTAAGGAAATGGTTCTGTTTTCAGTAGCTCCATTTCACAGGGGAGGAAACTGAGCCTCAGGAAACTTGAATAACTTGCTCAAGTCACTCAACCAGTTAGTGGAAGAGCTTGGATTTCACCCAGAATTATCTACCAACCTGAACTCTTAACTGATGCAGTAGTCCCACATACACCTTTTTCGGTTTTAAGTTTCTATGAATCCATGCATTTAACTGCGTACCTTTTTGTTTGTTTAGTGTTTTCACTTCCTCTTCTATCCCTCCCTTTTTTTATTTCTCCACCAAATGTTTGTTAGGCACCTGTTATAAATCGAACACAAAGTAGGCACACTGAGAGAAATACAATAATAGCCTTTTCTGCATGCGTTATATATAACATTGTTTGCTCATAACAAATAACAGAAGGGACCATGGCTGTAAACCTAGTCACCTGAAAGGTAGGCTTCTGAGATGATGATCATGAGGATTTTAACTTTCCACCATACTGTGTAGCTGTATTAACTAATGAAAAGTGAAATATTTTTATGCTACTTTTCATCTTTGGTGAGTTGCCAATAGTACAGTGACCTAATTAGGAAGGAAGCCAAGGAGAGGAGAACGAGGAATATGGATATTGTACAAATATTATCGGTGTCTGAATAACAAAGAGGCTGGTATTTTTATTAAGGGACTGTTATAGAAATGTGGACTGAAACATCTCAAAACGTTAGACTGTGTTAATATTCAAGTTCACTGAAATATAACATTTATTCAATATTTTCTTCTTTAAGATTTTAATGAATCTTAGGCTATAGAATCTTAGAATTCAAGGAGTAGGATAAAATCTAAATCTTTCTCCTTTCATATGGTAGCTTTGCTCTGAAGATCTTGAAAACAAAGGTCATTTGGTTTACAGGTGACTAACTCATTTCTTTCTGAACCATTTCATATTTTTTAATGAAAATGCATTTATTGATATTTTTTTAACCTTTTCTAGTCATCATTTGGATTTCATAACTGCTTTGTAAAATTAGTTATAAAATTATTGCATAGATTTTGGGTCTCTATCACCATTATAATGCTTCTATCTTTTCAGCTAAATGAAGGACATGCAAAAGTATAAAATGCTTTTCTGTACGAGAAAGGTAGCTATAGCTATGTTCGTTTTTCCTGTATACGAATAAAAAAATGAGCATTTGCTAAAGGTGGCCATCAGTTTAGAGCATTAGCACTTGAACCTTACCAACTTTTTGCTTTTATCCTCTGTTTAACTCTTCCTTTTAGGGAGGCAGCTTTTCACCAGATGGAAATTTTAAAATATTTATGCCATCTTCACAGTTAAAAATCTTTTGTGCAGCATTTTTACACATTTTTTGAAACTTGGAAGCAGACACTAAAAATGTGTTGATTACATTTATTTCTGGCAAAATAGTTAAACACCTTTGAGGAGACTGAATTTGGAAGCAAACATCTTGGCTTGAAAATTTTGCCTGTGCTGGCAACTTTAATATGGAACTTGCTTTTGCCTGACTACAGTCTCAAGTAGTGTGAATAAAAGAGTTGAAGCAATAAATTCACCCTGGTACACAGTTACCTCCGCTCACTAGGGAACAGGCACTGTTCTGAACCCTGTGGGCATGTCATCTTAGCCCCTCAACACCTCTGAGGAGATACTTCACATGAGAAGAAAATGAGGTCAGAGAAGTCACAGGGTTAATAAGTGGTAGAGTCATGAATTGAACACAGGTCACCACCCTCCACAACTCTGTGCCAGTCTTCCAATGTTAAACTTTTACTCTTGAAATAATTATGTTAAGAGACTCATGAGGTAGAAGAATCTTGAGATCCACCTTTTCCCGGCTGCTGCTTTCATTCTTAATAATACTTGCACTCTCAAATAGAGTATAAACTCGATATCTTATTTTAGCAAAAATATGTGAAGGAATTAAATTTCATTTGATAACACTCTTGTGTCGAGCCCTCTGAACCAAGAGGGATTTTGTGTTCTGCAGGGAAGAACATTTGACCAACTATCATTTCTGTATCCGCTCTGTGTCCCTTAAATCAGTTTTTGCTTCTGTTAAATGAGATGGTTCATTGATAGATAAAGCTCTTTCTGGGAGTCACTATAGATATAGAGTCACTACAGATATGGAATTGCAGACGAAAGAGAACTTAGGAGATCCTGAGTCAGAAGACTTAATGTAACCTGGTCTCACTTTCCACATCTGTAAACTGGAGTGCTTTCTTCTATTGAGGATTTGAG